ATAAATTCCACCGAAATAAAATAAGTGACAAGTCACAAGCGTATCCGCTTTACTCAAATAAGTGACGTCGTTTTGGCTAAGGCGAACAAATAAAAAAAGCCAAAACGACGTCATTTTAAGTTCCGATGACAACTGTACAATCGACGTGGCACGGGATTCTTCTCCGTTAACGAAATAGAACCATTGACTAACGGGAAACGGGTCAATGTATGTATTCCTCAGAAATCAGATAGTTGAGGTATGAATTGTCCAGAATTTAAAAGTTTGGGTATGAATTTGGGCAAGTAAATTTCCCAGGTTGGTATTTGCACCATTCAGAATAGTTGAGGTATGTATTGGCCTGTTTTCCTTATATAGTATATAAGAACACTTTTCAATTTTTGTTTTATCTACTTTTACTCCAACAAGCTGTCGCCGATTGTCTTATATATGCCCTTCATGTTTTTCTTGCTCTTTTGTGACACATTCTCAGCCGTTACTTAAACTTTATCATGTTATTAGGAAATTAGGGTAATCAAGCTGATTATGTTTTTCTTATTACAACAAAAAACGTGAATTTTTTTACTTAACATTTTAATTCCCATTGTCAAGGTCATCTCAAATTATTTGTGAATCATGCTCAGTTATATGTATTTATATTACGATTTATATATTTATATGTATTTAACATGCTAACTATTTTTCAAATAATAGGGACCTTTATTTATAACATATCCAAAAAAAAGTTTAGATTCTTTTTTTTTGGGGGTAATTAAGGCCATGTTCATCCGCTTCAGTTGCACTTGCACATCCTAAAATACGGTCATTGATGTTTCTAAAACGGACGCATGTTCTTTAGTTTCGTTATACTTTAATTGCTAGTTTGCTACGATAGTACAACTGTTACAAACCATAAATTGAACCCAAAATCAATCAAAAAATGAAATATTTGTCCGCAAAGATCTAGATCATCGGGTGCAGAGCCGTGTTTATGGTCTATCAAAAAAGGCATTTGCTTCAAGCCCCCTCCAAAAATATATAAATTTAAGGCTCCTAATTTTTAAAAATTAGTCATAGTATAGTAATTAAAATCAATTTCTAATTAGAGCCAACGTACTGATTAGTTTTCAATTACAGTCCACTCTAATATTCTTTTTTTTTATTTAAATAATTGTGAAAGTCTTATCCACGTTTTTCAAGTTATTCTTTTACCATGATTTTATCTTTTTAAACACTTTTTCAATTTTTTTTAACACTTTACTCTATTTTTTCACTTTAATTTTCATCCTTCTTTCTGTCTAAATTTGTTTGTACTTGAATTTTTTTTGTTTAAACGAACTGCTGCGTTTTACATGAAATTTTTTTGGATCAACGTTTAACATAAATTGAATAACTTAAAAAGTAACCATGTTCGTGTTTCTTTCCAATATTTTGACATTTAGACTTTTTTATCCAAAAATTATATTAAACTTTAGATTTTTTATATGTTAATTTTTATTCTAATATTTTATAATTAATTTATATAAAAAACTCAACTTTATAATTTTGCCTCAAGCCCCTAAAAGTCTTCGCCACTGATCGGGTGCGATTTTAATGAAGGCGTTAACATTGACCAAATGTTGATTCATTTTGGAAAATCTACGAAAAAATTGGGATTAAAATTTTAATGAAGAAGTTTGTGTTTTTTTTGTTTCATAAGTGGATCCTGTGATTTTTTTTGGGTTATTTTTTTTTAAAAAAGCTCAGATTCGATCATACGGTAACATTCCAATCATATTTTAGAACCCATAGGATGAGAGGATTATCGGCAACGTGGAAACTTCTCATTCGTCGCAGGGTAATTCTCTCTCTTCTCTTGACAAATTTTCTCGAACATTTTGTTTCTCTTCTTCATTTTTTTTTCCTAACGTAACTTTTTTTCTTCTTCAATTTTTAGCTGCCTCTGTTTCTCTTCTTTAATTTAAACCCAAATACTGAGCACAGAATCTCTCCATTCTTCACCGCCTCTGTCTCTACACATCTCTTCCTCCACCGCTTCTTCCCAGTATAGAGGCCACACGCCGCCTTGTTCGACGTCGACTCCAAGATCGTACGTAGTTACACCACCACCGATTCTCATCTTTGGTCTTCGAGATTGAATCGATTATTTTCTGCATCCCTACGATCTTACGGCTCACCTTCCTCCAAGCTACTTTGATAGTCGGATCTAAACCAGGGATAAAGTCGAGTTTCAGAAACAGAGACATCACAATATCATGATTGGAGAGACAAAATTAAATGAGTTCTTCACTATTGTAAAATCTAAAAAATATTAATAAATTAATACTAAAACTCTTCTTTGAGTATTATGGTTGGAGATGTCCTTAGTAATATTCCGACAAAACGACCACATTATAACTGAATATTGGTTGATTTAAATTATATTGTGTACCTCAGTCAAAAAGATGTTAAAAAGAAACAAACAAAAAAAAGCTAACTAAGGCCTAGTACTCCCAAAATAAGTTAGTACCTTTGTCTTGTTTGTCATGTCATTTGAAGTAAAAAAAAAACGTTTTCTTCTTTTTAAATTAAAACCTTAAATAGTCGTACGTCATAGAACAAGTTGGCCAAGTTTTAACTTGTAATCTATCGTATTGTGTTGTGTTTGCTACTTGCAAGATATTTCATTATATAGAGGTAAGTGACATAATCCCTATTTGTTTGGTGCATGCATTATTCTAAATACTATTTTTATGACACGTTCTTTTTGTCTGCCGTTTATGCATTTACTGTAATATCCGATACTATTTAAAAAGTATTCAAGGAAAACATTCTTGAGAAGAGGAGGGAACAATGGATTCAAGGGAAACATTTTTGGCCAACATTTTGCATTCACGTCCGTAAATGCCTTGCAGCATGTGGATCCAAGTATCCAACGTTATCAAACTCAGTGCCGGCCCATCGCATAGGCGAAATAGGCGATGAATTAAGGTCCAAAAATTTTTCGGCATAATTTTCTATTGGATTTTTTTTTTTTTACTCTTAAAAAATATACCATATTTTTTGAAAATAGATTAGGGCCTTTCATGGACTTAGGCTGGCGCTGATCAAATTTACTGGTTACAGAGGATTTATAGATTTCGATTATGCAACCTTGAACGCCAAAAAGCGATGACCAACACTATGTGATATTGACTGGGAAGCCAGAAATCGAGGTATGCTCTGAACCTCGGCTAGCCCTGGCCTCAATAGAGTTGTGGCACACAAAGTTACGACTATGAACGTGGAAAAAAAAGAGTTTCGATCCTACCTTCCATTGCATATATATTGTTTCCTTATTTTATTCTTTTGATATTAGAGCTAGGGAGATAGAGTAAAAATGCTTGATTGGATGATTTTGGAATTTTCGGTATCAAAAGAAACTAACCATTTATAAAGCTGAACGAATTTGGTAACTTTATTAGGAGAGTTACACTAAAACCGTCGTCCGTTTGACATTCTTTGAATTAATTAAAAACATGGAACTAATTGTTACGTTTTAATTACAAACTGACTCACTCAAAGAGTAAAGTTATGTGTATATAAGTTTTTACCGATTAATTCAAACAAATATCGATGACTATTTGCTTTGTAATAAAAAAACCTGTAACATTTTGTATCTTATAATAGAAAAATTTACAATTTTTTTACAGAATACTTTTATATTTCGAATCGATTAAGTCTATATTTTTGAATGTAAACCACAAGGGGAAAAAATAAATCTAAGCATGTCCTATCTAAAGCTTTTTTTTTTTGCAGTTCTATTTGTCTTCTCTTAGACTGAATTAACTTAAAAAAACATGTTCCTTAATTCTGTTACATAAAATTAGTGGTACGAGCTAGTGTCTCCATTGGCGTTAGTACTGTATGAGGACACTAGAATTTAGTGAGGAAGAAACTTGAATTATGTTGCTTCTGGTCACAAATAAAATAAGCCAGCTTATAAGTTAAAACCACTTAACAAATAAAACAAGGCTTTAACAATGTCACTAGCTAATCTTTTATTTGTTTCTCATCAAAATTCAGAAGCCAAAGTAATTTATGTCAAGAACAAAAAGCCTCGTGATAACTTTAATCTTGTTCCAACGTGGCAAAGCATTAACAATATGATTGGACTTAACTTAAAATGGGCTTCAATGATCCATTAACCAACTCATCAAAATATCAAAAGCTTGAGATCCCACATCGGTTACATTAGTGTGAGGCACTGAATCAAATGGACTATGAATAAGAGGCAGAGCTCGGCGTATCATTTCACGCAGCCGTGCAGCGAGAACAAAGCGAACTATTCTTTCGCCTTTTACTAAAGAATACCGTGTTCTCTCTGCTCTTTAGCGGCATACGCCTATTTTTGGAAAGGGTTTTTGTAAACAGAAACCCTCCATCAATCTCTGAGTTAACTATTTTAAATTTGGAAGTTAAATGAAATTTACATTTAATTGGATTATGTTCTACGTTAACGATAGAGTACTAAGCAGGATCATCTATGGTATTCTGTACTCACAGTCACAGTCACACTCGTGGGTCTTCAAAAATTAGTTCATGTGTTAATGCTTTTAGCCAATGTGGTAGTGTGTGTGTGTAATAAATATGAGATAAGAGTTAGTAATATGGTCGAATGAAAGCGTGTGTGTTACCACATTAGAATTACTAAAGTTTGGTAACCGAATTGACTCTAAACTTTGCCGAATTGATTCTCTTTCCATGGCTTCTTCACATTGATTAAAGAGTAAAAGACAGAGAGACAATCGATATAACTTGGGGAGTGTTCCTGACGTGGCATTGGGATCAAAGAGGAAAAGATACAACGTCTGATTTCAAAGCCCCTTCCTACTAATTCCAAAAGGAAATAGAGCATTTAGCTTGTTGGGCTTAGGCATAAATGAGCTTTAGTTGAATGCATTTTCTTAACTCCTTACTTTAATCCCACATCCGAAGCATAAGTCAGATTGGTAGGTCCTCATTTGAATATAAAATGAAGAGCCTTACAACTCCTGAAACTTATCTTTGCGCTTGGGGTAATGACGCTGAGGTACTAACCGAGGTGCGTATATTACTGGTTGAAAACTATTTCCAAACCTCCTTCTAGTCCTAAGCTTGTCTTGGGCCTTCGGGGATTTCTGGAAGGGTTCCCTTTGGGGTAAAACCCTACAATTTTCTTAGTTCAATATTTTTTAAAACATATGTCCATATTTCTAGCCAAGCACAGGAGACAGAATTAGCTACGGCCGCTCATGGTAGCGGGTCAAGCAACCTACAAGTAAGATGATTCGAAGGGAAAAACCGTAAGAGTTACAAATGAATTTAACTACAAATGTCGTGTGGAGTGTTTCACTTTATCTCTTGGATTTCTCTATCTATTTCTAAATCAACTCTAGCGTGTGTCTTTTCATCCTTCGCCAAGACAAAAAAAAAACATAGGAATAGAGACACATGTTATGTATACAAGAACATAACACATGCAAGACGACAACTACGATTAGTACCCACTTAGGCCCTAGCAACAAAGATTTTGCTTTCTTTGTTCTTCCTACGGAATTTATGTTTCATTCGGTATTTCTATATACACGATGCGCATTTATCCCAACATCGCTCTCCTCAAAGATAAACTCTTTGGATTTAAGCCGGAGCTAAGTGTGTGGACTATTTCACCTCGACCAGTTAAGTGAATGAAATGAAATGATCATATCAGGTTCATAATTTATAATAAGGTACCAAGGATCATCTAGGTTCACATTATATGATATGTTTCTCCCACGCCATTGGATGAAGAGTGTGCGAAGAACTCAATAGATGTCGACTGAAAAGATGTTTAATAGATAAAATTCATAGAAAATGCAAGAAATTTTAGAACAAAGTTTCGACTATGATCGTGGAAAAAAGAATTTCGATCCTACCTTCCATTATATATATATATATATATATTGTTTCCTTATTTTATTCTTTTGTTATTAGAGCTAGGGAGATAACGTGAAATGCTTGATTGGATGATTTTGGTATCAAAAGAAACTAACCATCTATAAAGCTGAACGAATTCTGTAAATTCATTAGGAGAGTTATACTTTAAGCGTCCGTTTGACATTCTTTGAATTAATTAAAAACATGGAGTTGTTACGTTTTAATTACAAACCGACTCACTCAAGGAATCAAGGTACGTGTATATAAGTTTTTACTCATTAATTCAAATAAATATCGATGACTATTTGCTTTGTAATAAAAAAAGCTGTAACATTTTGTATCTTATAAAAGAAAATTTCACAAACTTAGAGCATATTTTTATATTTCAAATCGATTAAATCCATATTTTTGAATGTAAATCACAAGGGAAAAAATAAATCTAAGCATGTCCTATAAAAAACTTAATCCGTTTTGTTTTTGCAGATCTATTTTTGTCTTCTCTTAGACTGAATTAACTTAAAAAATGTTCCTTAATTCTGTTACATAAAATTATTATACGAGTGCATGTCTCCATTGACGTAAATATTGTAGGAAAACACTATAATTTAATTAGTGAGGAAGAAACTTGAATTATGTTGTTTCTGTTCACAAATAAAACTTACAACCACTTAGCAAATAAAATAAAAGGCTTTAACAATGTCACTAGCTAATCTTTTATTTTCTCATCAAATTTTACCAGCAATAGTAATTTATGTCAAGAAGAAAAAGCCTCGTAATGACTTTAATCTTATTCCAACGTGGCAAAGCATTAACAATTTGATTGGACTTAACTTAATGGGCTTAAATGATCCATTAACCAACTCATCATTCATCAAAATATCAAAAGCTTGAGATCCCACATCGGCTATATTAGTGCGAGGAACTGAATCAAATGGACTATGAATAAGATGCAGCGCTCAGTGAATCAAAATCACGGAGCCGTGCAGTGAGAACAAAGCGAACTATTCTTTCGCCTTTTACTAAAGAATACCGTGTTCTCTCTGCTCTTTAGCGGCATACGCCTATTTTTGGAAAGGGTTTTTACAAACAGAAACCCTCCATCAACTCTGAGTTTAATATTTCTAAGCTGGAAGTTAAATGAAATTTACATTTAATATAATATGATATGTTCTACGTTAACGATAGAGCACTAATTAAGCAGGATCATCTAAGGTATTCTGTACTCAGTCACACTCGTGGGTCTTAAAAAAGTAGTTCATATGTGTTAATGCTTATAGCCAATGTGGTAGTGTGTGTGTGTGTAATAAATGAGATAAGAGTTAGAAGTATGGTCAAATAAAAGCGTGTGTTACCATATTAGAATTACTAAAGTTTGGTTACGGAATTGATACTCTAACTTTGCCGAATTGATTCTCTTTCCATGGCTTCTTCACATTGATCAGAGAGTGAAAGACATAGACACAATCGATAAAACTCGGGGAGTGTTCCTGACGTGGCTTTGCGATCAAAGAAGAAAAGATACGACATCTGATTTCAAACTCCTTCCTACTAATTCCAAAAGGAAACAGAGCATATACGAAACGTGAATCTATTAGTTGGGCTTGAGCATTCCAAAAGGAAACAGATCATACACGAAACTAAAATCTATTGTAGTTGGGCTTGAGCATAAATGAGCTTTAGTTGAATGCATTTTGTTAAGTTGTTTTTTTAATCCCACATCGGAAGTAGTAGTCAGGTTGGTAGGTCTCATGTAGATATAAAAAGAAGAGCCTTCCGATAGGGGAAACTCATCTTTGCGCTTGGGGCAATGACGCAGCTAATGAGGTACTAACCGAGGCGCGTCTATTGCTGGTTGAAAACTATTTCCAAACCCCCTCCTAGGCCTGAGCTTGTCTTGGGCCTTCGAGAATTTCTGGAAGGGTTCCCTTCGGGGTAAAACCTTACAATTCTCTTAGTTAAAAGTTTTATGTCATTTTGTTTCTGTCTGAAATTATTTCAAATTTGTAAAACATGCCTGATAGGTAGAAGATTTAACCAAGTGCTCTTAAAACCAAATCTGAAGGTGGAATTGGGTGGTTATCTTTTCGGTAAGACTCAGATCAATACAAATACATCTAATGGAAAGTAATTAAAATACCCAACATCAGAAACATATGTCCATATTTCTAGTCAATAAGAGTTACACATGAATTTAACTACAAATGTCGTGTGGAGTTTTTCAGTTTATCACATGGATTTCTCTATCTTGTTCTATATTAACTCTTGTGTCTTTTCATCCTTAGCCAAGACAAAAAACCATAGGAATAGAGACACATGTTCATAACACATGCAAGACGACAACTACGATTAGTGCCCACTTAGCAACAAAGATTTTGATTTCTTTGTTCTTCCTCCGGAATTTATGTTTTTTTTAAGGAACCTAACGTTAGTTTATGTCAATTTGTGTAATCTCTGTTGCATTCATCGTTAACTTTACAAGGCTTTATATACAAAGCAACTCCCTTAACAATAGGAGATAATCTCAAATCTAAGATAACATCAAATCTAAGATACAATCTTATCCGAACATATACTTAGGAATATTCCAATACTCCCCCTCAAGGTGGTGCATGAAGGTCTCGAATGCCCATCTTGCCAAGTAAATGACGTAGTTTCTGACGACCCAATGCTTTCGTAAGTAGATCGGCCGGCTGATCAGACGTTCCAATTGGTTGAGTTGAAATGATGCCGGCTGTAACACCATCGCGTACGAAATGACAATCTGCTTCAACATGCTTTGTTCGTTCATGAAATACAGGATTGTTGGCAATCTTGATCGCTGCCTGGTTGTCACAGTACAAGGGGATCGGTTGATTTTGAACAATTCCAAGACTGTCTAGAATCGACTTCGTCCACTGCAGTTCCTGATACGGCAAAGCCATCGACCGATACTCTGCCTCTGCTGTAGAACAAGCCATTACTTCTTGTTTCTTCGTCTTCCAAGTGACTACAGAGTCGCCAAGCATAACAATGTAACCTGAAAGTGATCGTCGCGTGAGTGGACACGCTGCCCAGTCCGAATCGCAATAAGCTGATATTTGAAGATCATTCTTCGAGCTTAACAGAATGCCCTGTCCCGGTGTTCCTTTTAAATATCGCACCATACGCAGCGCTGCTTCCCAATGCTTTTGTCGAGGGCGATGCATGAACTGTGCTAAAATATGAACCCCATAGCTCAAATCTGGACGAGTGACAGCCAAGTAAACGAGACGTCCGACCAAGCGTCTGTACCGATTAGGTTCAGTAAAGAAAGCACCTTCGTCGCGGCCAAGATCATGATTCTGCTCTATAGGATTTACCGCAGGCTTAGCTCCAAGAAGACCACACTCTCGGACTATATCGAGAGCATATTTGCGTTGAGACAGATAAATACCATCTTTTCCACGAGAAACTTCAATTCCCAAGAAATACTTTAAAACACCCAAGTCCTTCATATGGAAATACCTGTTAAGATAGCTCTTAAAGTTTGAAATCAGAGCAGAATCATTACCACCGATAACTAAGTCATCAACGTAAACCAGAACATAGACCACCGAAGCACCCTTGGTTAATGTAAACAAAGAATAATCTGAGTAGTTTTGTTTGAAACCGAAACCGATCAAGGCCTGCGACAACTTAGCGAACCAGCACCTTGGGGCTTGCTTAAGCCCGTAAAGAGACTTGCGCAACCTGCACACCTGATTGGGCTTTGAAGACTGAAAACCTGGTGTTAATTTCATGTACACTTCCTCCTCTAAATCACCATGGAGGAATGCGTTGTGGACGTCCATCTGATGTAGTTCCCAGTCTTTCGCAGCTGAGACCTCTAGGAGAATTCGAACCGTATTCATTTTGACGACAGGAGCAAATGTTTCCTTATAGTCATGTCCTTCTTTCTGCGTGTTACCAAGGATCACCAATCTCGCTTTATACCTTTCCACTGTGCCATCAGCTTTAAATTTTGTGTGATACACCCATTTGCAACCTAATGCGCGTTTGTTTGGAGGGAGATCCGTGACATCCCAGGTATGTTGTCGTTCCAAAGCACCAACTTCAGAACCCATTGCATTGCGCCAAATTTCCAGCAGAACAGCCTCCTTATACGAAATCGGATCATCGGAAGCCATGACAGCGGCGCAGAACATCTTCTCAGCGAGTGACAAACGATGACAAGAGATGAAATCAGTCAGGGGATAAAGGGACTTACTTGAAGACTTTGAAGAATCAGGTTT